ATCTTCAACTATATTATTAATAACTTTTACTAGATAATGATGAGAGTAAATATTACATGAATTTGTAGCATTTAAATTTACTTAAACGTTAGTGTAAATTTGTTAGAAGATTTTTTCAAGTACATCTTACAAGTTATTTTTTTCAGTGTATAATAAAGAGTAACAGACACACACTATTCAGTTTGCTTTTAAACACTGCACATCTGGAGGTTTGAGGTTTAGAGAAAAACGTGTTAAATTCAGTTGTTCACCTTGTTGGCCAGGGACACCATGATTCTGAAGGAGACGTCTTTCCCCTGCTCAACATATGCAWAGACGACGTCTCTGACAAGCAGATAGAGGAAGAAGGAGGCAGTGAGGCCAATAGTCAGGCGTATGGGCAGCCTCCATTCTGGGAACAGCTGCAGGGGGAAGTCCTCCAGCTCTCTGGCTACAGACAGAGACCCTCTGTCCAGGACAGTGAAGCCCAGTTTGGTGGAAATGTCTGTTACAGCCTGCTTAGCTGCCATGTTGTTCCCACACAGGTACACCTGCAGCACAAGAACACGCAGCACTTCAGCAACAGTAAAAAAAAATGCCCCCATGTGACCAGGATACTGTACGCCGTTGTTAATATTTATGTATTTATGCGTGTGTACAAGCAGTGATGAAAGGTGGTGCTTGACTCCAGAGAACTGAACATAAAAGTGAAACTATGAAAGACTAAATTTAGTTAGGGAAGCAGGTATGAAATAACAATGCTCAGTCAACACCTTTGTGATGCTGCTCCAGATATTACACACACACACATGCACGCTCATGTCTCTGTGTGTGTGTGTGTGTGTGTGGGGGGGGGGGTGTGTTACTGTCCGGTGAGACTTCACAACGAGATCAAAACAAAACAGAAAAACCCACATGTGTTGCAGCTTTGCACTACAGAGAGAGTGAGCAAAAACATGTGAGATCTGAGACAGACTGGGGAGTTRATTGATTCAAAGCTGCATCAGAGACACACAGACTCACAGCAAACACATTCAGTTGACTTTTCGCATTCAGTTTTTTTTTTTACTAAGATTGAATGAAATTTTCTGAAAGATGTATTAAATTTAATCCTATTTTATTTTGAATTTCTGTGAAAGTTGTTGGGGAAAACCCGCTGTGCTAACAGATCAGAGAACTGTAATAAAAAAAAAATTTCTGGTGGAATAAGAAAAACAAACTTTAAATTAAAAAAAATAGAGATACAGCTTTTTTATTTCTTCCAAAATGAAATGTGAATGCTGAGTGCTGAAGGACTGAAACTGAGTTGATTAAAAAAAATAAAATAAAGAATTTCACCACTAGCAAAAGCCAAAAGTGGCAAAAGGCAAGTGAAAAAACTATCTGTAGCAAAATGCTAGCTAAAAAATAAAATAGTAAAAGTATCCATTCATTGTCTTAACCCAATTCTTCCTTTCAGGGTCACTGGTGAGAGCAGGGAGCAAACCCTGTCACTCCCAGCTAAGGACAATTTAGTGTTAGCAATTAGCCAAACATTCATGTTTTTGGTCTGTGGTAGGAAACTGGWGTGTCCATAGAAAACCCACTCATGCACCGAGAGAATATACCAGAAAGGTCCCCGGATAGGATTTGATCCAGCAACCTTATTGCTGAGAGGAAACAGCTCTACTATCTGAGCCACAGTGCTGCTTGCAAAAGGCAACAAAAAGTTAAATGAAACCTACGTGTCACAAAGCATTAGCATTGCTAAAAGTAGTAAAAGGCTATCCAGAAGCCAAAAGTTGTGAAAGGCGAAAAACTAAAAGTAGCCTAAAAAGATTTAAAATAAAAAAAAAAACAGATCTGCTGAAGCAAATTTTAAATAAAATTTATTCACAGGAACTAATTAGATCTCAAAGTATTCCTTTGTGGAAATGATTTGTAAAATACAGTTAATTATTTTGAACGCTGTTTACAAAACCAGACAAAAATTCATGGTCAAGTGAGGATCAGTGAAAATGTAGGCCTGAAACAAAGTGAGACACCTGTGATTACCTGTCTGCTGGCGTCTGCTGGTCCGTTCTGAAGAGCCCAGGCAGACAAGGTGTTAAAAGCTTTCACCACGTGAGCTCCAGGGATCAGCCTGGACAGTAAACAACAAACTTTAACAAGTCTTGCTAGTTCCTGAGTTTTAACCACATGAGCCAGTACACAACTCGTTAGTCTCATGTTTCATTTCTCCTCACCTCTGCAGATACTCAGCATTGGCCTCTGGGTACAGGTTCTTCTTGAGATTGTTGCTCATGTCAACCACCACCTTTCAGTTRGTGAAAACCAGTGGKTTTGATTCAAAGAGGGGAAAATAASAAACTGAGASGTTCTTATTAATAATCTGGCTGTGCAACATGGTACCTTGTCCTTGAGCTGAGGAGCAAGAGACTCCAGGAAGTCATAGTGTTCTCTGTGAACGCAAAGAAAGATCAGGCTGGCTGACTGGGCTGCTGCCTCGTGGCTCAGAACCTGGAAAACAAACACATCACTGTTGATGCCTGCAGTAATCAGAACTGGCAGGACGTTTAACAAATGTGTAAAGCAGGACCTCAAAGTGACGCTTGAGTAAACGTATCTTATCATCAAACTATGGGGTGCCGTTTGTAAAGTTACACAATCAGAAATTACCACTAATATTTTTGTTTTATTTAGACTTTTTTAAGAAAAAAAGAACAGATTTATTTTTCGAAGTCAGTTTTTCACCATACGATTCACACATTTAAAAACGTCATAGTTTATAAACTAAATATTTAACTTACAAATTAAA